GACTTAGCTCTGCAGCATATGCTGTAATGAAGATACGTATGTTAACTGACATAGATACTGCCAGATTAGTATACTTCGGTTACTTTCATAGTATGATGTCATACGGAATCCTATTGTGAGGAAATGCTGCCAACATACAAACGATTTTTGTGCTTCAGGAAAGAGCAATTAGATCAATTTATAATCTTAGGATTAGAGACTGTTTAAGAGAGAAATTTAAGGAAATAGCCATTATGACTGTTGCTTCTCAATACGTAAACGAGAATTTAAAGTATGTTCGTAAAAATATTAGTTTGTTTTCTATAAAAAGCGACGTACACAATTTTAGTACAAGAAATAAAAATAGATTAACGGTGCCTGTCACTAGACTGCAAAAAGTTAATAACTCATTCAGGGGTCTTTGTGTGCGCTTCTACAATAAGGTCCCAAGCAAAATATAACAATTAGATATCATGCAGTTTTTAGATAGCTCCTCATTAGCCTGTGATGCAAAAGAGAAAGCCGATCTCCTGGGAAAATTTTTTTCATTCAACTCGACTTTGGTTGACCAGGGGCTGAAACCGCCCACGATTCCGCGGTGCAATAGCTCTATACCATATATCCGGTTTCACCAAAGCTCAGTGCGTCTAGCACTACTCTCCTCCGATATCCACAAGTCGAGTGGGCCCGATGGTATTCCCTCTATTGTGCTAAGAACGTGCGCTCCAGAGTTGGCACCAGTCTTAACACACCTATTCCGGCTCTCTTACTCATCTGGCGTCGTGCCAACCTCATGGAAGACTGCTCTAGTGCATCCGATCCCAAAAAAAAGTGACCACTCGAACCCGTCCAACTACAGGCCGATCGCTATAACTCCTTTGCTTTCAAAGATAATAGAGTCCATTATCAACCGCCAGCTCCTTCGGTACCTAGAGGATCACCAATTGCTTAGTGACCAACAATACGGATTTCGTTATAGTCGCTCTGCTGGCGATCTTCTAGTTCACTTGACACATAACTGGGCTAAGGCAACTGAAACAAAAGGGGAGGCCCTGGCAGTAAGTTTGGACATAGCGAAAGCCTTCGATCGGGTGTGGCACAAAGCTCTTCTATCAAAACTTCCTTCGTATGCTTCCGGCATCCCGCGAAATTATGTGCATGGGTCACTAATTTTTTGGCAGAGAGAAGCATTAAGGTTTTAATCGACGGTGAATGCTCGGACCTACTGTCTATAAATGCCGGTGTTCCCCAAGGATGTGTGCTATCACCTACACTTTTTCTTCTGCATATTAATGACATGCTGCAAATTAGCGGTATTCATTGTTATGCGGATGACAGCACGAACGACTCCACTTATAACAGTCGTGCTAATATTTCTCGGGAAAGCGTCATTGAGAGCCGGAATCAACTTGTGTCTGATATTGAATCTTTGTTAGAGTAAGTCTCTAACTGGGGTCGACTTAATTTGGTCAACTTCAACCCGACCAAGATACAGGTTTGCGCGTTCACCGCCAAAAAAGCCCCTTTTGTCGTATCACCTCGCTTTCAAAACATTCCCCTAACTGCCTCAGCCAATACTGAGATTCTCGGTGTCGACATATCGAGCGAGGTCCAGTTCCGTGGTCACTTAGAGGATAAAGCTAAATTAGCATCTAAGAAGCTTGATGTGCTTAATAGATCGAGGCAGTATTTCACTCCGGCACACCGCCTGCAGATTTACAAGGCGCAGGTTCGGCCCCATATGGAATACTGTACTCATCTTTGGGCAGGTGCACCCCAATACCAGCTTCTTCCTCTAGACCGCATTCAGCGGAGAGCGACTCGAATCGTCGATTGCCGGGACACTTCAAGTTGGCTTAATCCACTGGCCCTGCGTAGAGATGTTGCTTCACTGTGCATCTTCTATCGCATCAATCACGGGGAATGCTCCGAGGAATTGTTCGGACTCATACCTGCCGCTACTTTCCGCCATCGTTCAACGCGACAAGAAATCCACGCCCATCATCTGGATGGTTGGAACTGTGCGTTTTTCTAGAAGTTTTCTGCCTCGCACAGCCAAACTCTGGAACAGTTTGTCGCCAGCGGTATTACCGGCCCGATACGACCTCCAAAAAAATCGACCACTACAAAAATCGGATACCTTATAAATAGCTTATTATAAGGTATCCGATTATATAACAGATAAGAATGATTGGACTTGACATGATTCAGCAACTGGATAGATGATTACTTCTTAACTCATTATGTATAAAAAATTATTTTACTTCCATTATTTAAATAATTATGTTATCATTATAAGACCATATATTTTTTCTCTTTCTTTATAATGTATTAATCTGGTAATGACATGGTTTTTGTAAATGTCATTACTCCTATTAGAGCTGATGAGTTTCTTGCTCGTTCTTCTTATCAGCCAAAACGTCCTGAACGAGCGGTAGGGAAAAAAATGTTGGACGATTCAAAATTACTTTTAAGACGTCTATTTGAATAAAGGTTATTTTGACTTTGACTTTGAATTACGACTAAAAACTATTTAATCTGATGCACACCTCAAGATTTCAATGTAGTCATCGATCAAGCTCTTTATTTACAATGCATATTGTATTTCACTTTCATCTGTTGGTTCCGGATGCAGCAGCAGTCATTAACACTTACCATTCCCCACTGGGGCTGCTCCCACTTAATTCCATCTACAGGGAAAATCTGTACCCCTGTAGTGTGAGGACATAAATAGACTGTTGATGTTAAATCATATTTTTTTCGTTAATACACGTTTTGTAATATTGTTATTACCTGTATAGACCGTCAATCTAATAGCTTTGCTAACATCTTAACGAATAATTTCCGTTGATTTTTTCATTCGAATATCAGGAATTTCAACCGTTTATTTTTAGACGATTCATCATCTAAGTTTCATAACTTCTTATCTTTTGATTTATTCAATGAGAGATTAATCCGCCAACTCATCAAATCTCTCACAAATTTATCCTAATTTCTATAAAGCCAGGTAAAGGTTTGTACAAATATTTCTTTGAAAGCATACCCCATTGAGATTACTCATGGCAGCGGCGCCATTATGTTCTGTTTTTCCACGAAGCACTCCTATGTTTATACACAGAATTTCTATTAGGCACTCTTTTTAAGAGAAATCCGTTAGCGGCGTCCGTACTCAGAGTGAATTCCGATTAGAAAAAGACAAAGAGCCGATTGTAGAACGTCCGTTGGAAGTGGGGAATCAATTAAAGAGAACCATCGATTCTGCCGACCGATAATGTCTGTCAGGAGTAACTGAAAATAGCTGATAAGATTGTCGGCACCCACTCGCCAGCCGGCCTTCTTTTAATTATTTTTTTAAACGCTTATCGTATTTCACGTTGCGGTTCATTAAACATTGAAAAGGAGGGTCCCACCAAACACCGGCATTATTTTATATACTAATTTTATTTAATACCTTTTTTATTTACAACTCCAAAATTCACATAATAATCTGTACATTAAACCGATATAGCTTAGTGATAAATCTCTTATTTTTAATAAAAGATACAATTTTATACATTCATTAATGAGTATAATATTACTTATTAGGTCGATTAATTAACATTTATATCGATATGAAAGGTTCAAATATTTTTCCTTTTCATTATTGTGCAATAATTTCATTATTTACATTTCACCAAAAAGCGTGAGGGACAAGCCTGAATAGTTAACGCTAAATATATGTCTCTTACTAATAGAATATAAATATGCCATGTCATTTTATTCACCTCACAATGGCAACCTTATAATGTATCCGCAGTTAAGAGTAATGTTGAGACAGCTACAGATAATACGTCATATCGCTTAAATATTATTTTTTTTACTATAGATACTTAAGGTCTGTAAATCAGAGCGAATGACAGTAGTACGCGACAGATCGTTTATCGAGTATGTTATGTTGATGATATGCATGTGTCAGTTCCGATGTTTATGCGAAAGTATAAAATGTCACGATTGACGGAATACAACAGAATATCTATCGATAATTTCTATCAACGTTTCTATTATATTATTTAATAAACTAAACTCTAAATCAATATTCTTTATACATTACAATGTTAGTATTCTCCTCCTCCTAATATGACACCCTTAATCGATGCCTGCCTAGCCTAATTTTAATGTTTTTACTATAAATTTAATGAAATTAATAAAATTGAAATATATGGATACATTATCAAGGTAGCATCTGTTAGCTGATTAAAATGTCACGGTGAGTAAACAAACATATTATTATAAAGTTTTAACAAAAGTGATATTATACATTCATTACAACCATCAAATCGTATTGATACGTTAACGTATTTAGAGCTTGTTATTATTAATAGAACTAAATTATTAACTCAAGATATTTATTCTACAATTAAAATTTTAACATGAAAATGTTTGGCACAATTAAGGTAAATAGTTCTAGGCAAAGCGTGGCAACACAATCAAACAAAGTTACGTATGATTACTATAGTTACTTGGAAGGACGACGTATTGAATATGATGTGATATAAGTCTAAATGTATTCAGTAGGAGGAATAAACAATGTCAGAGTTAACGAATTATAACTATGTGTTTTCATTTAAGTAAGAAATTTACGTGACCATTGTACTTTTAAGAATAGGACGTCACTAGGATAAAGGTAAGATATAAAAAAATATAATGCTCAAAAAAGTAGACGCATGAAAAATCATCGAGGCAGGACTACAATACGCTTTAGCTCTCCGAATCAATTACTTATAATCTAATCGTAAGTTTTATTTTGAATGTCTGAATTTGTTCAGTAAAATATACATTTCTCACTTTCTATCTTTCTTCATATAAAGGATATGACAAGAAATTTTGCATTGATATGTTCATTTTTATATAGATAATTTTAAAAAACCACAAATCCTCATGATAACAATTACTGGGGGTTAATTGAAGTAATTCTATATAAATGACATTATTTATTTAACAAAGGTAACAAAAAAGAAATCTTAAACTCATAAATAAGAAAATCAAACAAGAATGTCTATTTGAACGAAGACCATTATCACCAAGAAGGATTGTCGCCAGCAGTGTACACTCCTCGCACCTAAAACAAAAAGAATAAAAATCCAATATACTTAAAGCAGCAGCATTAACACTACAGTTTGTAGCAGTAATAAATATTATATGGAGGGAATAGAACCAGTTTAGTTTAACAAATAAGATGCCACTAAGAGATAAACGAGTGGTGCGGGCGGCAGTAGCACGCCACCAGTTTGTAAGAAAGTAATGAATGAATGTGCAAAACGAAACTGATGTTTGCTTCGCATGACCGTTTTAGATTTTAAATAAAAGAAAAGTAAGAGAAATGTATTATTCAATTCGAAAACATAAGCTTTGTAAAGTTAAATGTTTCTTATTGTCGTGTCTTTTGTTATGGCAACTAAAAGATTTTATTTTAATATTAAATTTTTATACAATGAAATTAATAAGTAGGTAACGTTGGACGCGAAATAAAAATATATTTGTTTACTAAACCCCAAAAAAAAAATAGAAGAAACAAAGATGATATCATCGAAAAAATGCTGGCTATTTATTTTTTTATTTAAAATATCTCAATAAGAAGCCTCGAAATCATTGGGCTGTAGTGAGGTAACCGGCAAGCGGCAAGTTATCATTGCCGCTTGAATGCTTTCCGTCTCTCGAATACACAATTCTTCTTTAGTAAAAACATCGTATTTTTGTTCCCGTTAGAGTGTACGATAAGACTATCAACGGCTTACAACACAACCTTTTCACCAACAAACACTTCGGTCCGCCATTGTGTGTCTACTCCGACGACATTATTTGTATTCAACATAATTTCCAGATCAATAAAACTATGTACGTAAGCGAGCTCAAATAACTCGTAACACACTCCCGGTCTCATATCCCCTAATATTTATTCAAACGTTTGCCCCGGTCTCTATTTGATATTATATTATTTGACTGTTCAAACACTTTTTTCTTGCCCGGGAGCTGCAAGAATTGATTGTACGAGGTCTGTGCTGAATATTTATGAGAGTTAAGTGTGTATGCGAAATCGTTGAATGTTTAATCCCTATTTGGCAGTTTGGGTACACTGAAAACGACCCAGGTAGGATCTCAACCACACACTAATGCGCAGTCAGATATAAATCTTTAAGCAGGGAGACATTGTTAAATGTTTTTAATTTTGCTCACATCTGAGAATTTTAGAAATTGGTGTTTCCAAATAGATTCAGAGTTGTTTATTCAGAAATTAAGTAAAAGCTCATGATCTTCTAAATAATTGTATGTACTCCACAGACGATGCATTTTTCGTAAAACAGTTACATTTAATGCAGATATAAATGCCGTTTCTAACTCATAATTAAATAGCACAGACAGGGAAAGGCAAACAAAATAGCAATGCAAGTGCCGTCTGAAAAATTAAAATACCTTCGCGTTTTTTCCATCAAGATAAAAGCCTGAATACTAAGAACGTCTCGGTACTCAAACAATTGCCGCATCCAGGCGTCGTCACATATTCCGCTCAACCCATTTCACCGCGACTCTGAGCACATTTATTTTTTACCATCGGAGGGGAAAGAGACGTTTTTAATAATGCAGTATATTGTTACAAAGAATACAAAGCGGATAATGCCGCCCGTGGATTCAAACTCTTTGTAGATGCCGTACGTACTATGGGTTTATATATTAAGTTTTGGCTTATAATAGTACGTAATTAGGCTAGGGTTAGTAAACGTCTCGACTCGGATTAGGATTGGCGGTTGGCTTTTTGTGAAAAGCTCGATTAATAAGACAACAAAGTTAATATTTAATATCCAAATGGAAACATCAGTAATATAAGCAGAATAAATTGAATCATTTGTAATACAAATAATCAAACTTATAGCAGAACAAATAACAAAACAATAAAAAAAGATTTCTTTATTGAGTAATGAGCTTTGCATAAAAAGAATTTACATGTAAATGAAATTGTCTTGTGATAAATTTGCCGAATATTCATCTTAAATCTAAATAAGAAAAGAGTGGTTTTTGTGGTCTTAGGACCAAAGAGTGGTTTTAGGACTACTCTAAGGTGATTAATGAAATTGCACTGATTACGATTAAGATATTTTCTTTTGTTTTAATTGCAAAAGTTAACCGTGAGAGTGTTTAATTTCTCATCAATTAGCAATTGCAGATATTAAGCAACTTTAACAAAAGTCCGTCGTCGGATGGAACATAATTTTTATTGTTCAGAAGGCATATAAAACCGTTGGGTCCTTTCCGTTAATTGCATCTACTATGTAATCTCGCCATGCCACCCAAAGGTCTGTACCGAGCATTGCAGACGTTTATTAGATGATGATGAATGATTTCTGATGTTAAATAATGAATAATGTACCTGAGACGTGGTGCGGGTGTGGGGCCCTGTAGACGTGGTGGGCTGCGTCCCTTTCAGGCGCCCGGTCCAGCTGGGCACGGAGCACGCTCGGGCGCTCTGTGCCCGCGCCTGCCTCCGCACGTTGCACGGCGCGAGTTATATTAGTCCGTCGTACACCTGCAACACGTCTCAAGGTTATTAAGCGTACAAAATCTATTTTATGAAGAGCTCCGAATTATTAAATATAAGATAACTGAACTTTTTGAAAGAATTAATCATTTCTGAAATCGGTCTTTTGTAAATTTCACTAATTAGTATTACGTTTCCTTTTTACATTTATAAGAATATGAATATAAAAAAGGCTATAAGGTTAGCATTACACCATAAACTAATCAAAACAGTTTTAACAATTCATCAGACCGCAGAATCGAAATGCATAAAACAAGTCTCCGGCGCGGTAGAAAACGACAAAGGGACTGTACAAGAGTGACGATTCTTGTCGTTATGTTAAAGTTTAATATCAGCCTTTGTGGAGCAACTTCGACGCCTCATTCGTAATGGCCTTATAAAGTAACTTATTACACGAAATTTCATTTGTGGAAATCACAGTCTTGTGCTTGTTGGCCTACAGGATAGTTATAATGTAATATTTTTTACTCGACAATCATAATATAATATGATTTGTGGAAAACTGAGAACGATAAACTTGTTTTTTTTTATTGTTAAGTTCCAAATTTTAGAGATTAGCTTTTTATCGATAAAATATATTGAATAGAAGATGACGAAAAGAAATTGCTCAATGACTTTGTGTAAAAATGGATGCGAAATAAAAAAAAAACACAAAAACGAGACAGATGTTATATTATGTTTCTTAAGAAATGGAAGCTCATAAATACGTATTGCAGTATTTATTTTAACGAGGTAAAAATAGAGACAACTAAACAAAGAACATAATAAGCTATTCTATGGTTAACATAATAAATTCTAAAGCATTTTATATATTGACAGCGGATAAACACTCACTTTCTTTATTGGCACTGCTTTTCATTTCTGTTACTTTTGGAGATGTAGAAGGCATAGGAATTTCTGCAAAATAATTAATTGATTAATATATACGTTATTTTTTCATAATTTATAAAAGATCGAAGTTGGCAAATACTATTTGAATGAAATAAAAAGTTTTTTAATGTAAACATAAAAGTTTATACACATTATAAACTTTTTATTTCATTTTGGTAAAAAAAAATATACATATTAACAACGTATTTTTATTATCTTTGTTTTATGAGACCAAACTTAACACTATTAATGTATTTTAAAGAAGGAAATGATATATTATTTACGTATTTTTAGAAATCTCACCATATAGCCTGATAGATCCCTCAGTTTCTCCGAGTGAATTTTTGGAGATGCATCTATAATTTCCGAAGTCTCCAGTCTGCAGGTTTCGAACTGTCAACTTCATATGCGCTCTAGGAAGAAATGGTAATATGTAATTGTAAATAATAATAATTATGTTATGGTCTTATTGAGTTGGTAATATATCGTTAGTTTACGTGGAGAGGCTGACTATCGAGATTTAATCAGCTGTTGGGTCGAGTATGGTAATGGTTACAGTTTTATTACTAAGTACACACCTTCAGTATATACATGTATATCGAGTGACGACATTAAATATTCACCGAACAGTTCAAGCTAAAAGCAAGTACATGTCTGCTCACACCAGACGACAGAGTTTGCATTAAGGAAGTAACGCATTCTCAGTGAGAAAAGAATTCAACAATATAAAAAAAAAAACAATAAAAGTCTCAGAAAATCATAATTAAATAGATTTGTCTACTTAACGATCTAAGTAATGCTAAATTTGTAAAAATCTAACATTTTGTGAGTTAACAATAGGATGTGACCAGCATTCATGTTACCAGGAACTGGTTACCATGTTAATGGGGAAAGCTCTATGATACAACAGCACTTTAATCAAGGAAGGTATTAACAAAAATTCATCAAAACAAATCATTATTTCGGCGTCATATATTTCGTTTGACTCAATCTGAACTGCGTTTGCGAAAACCAATTATTATTAAGTAAATACAATAGTCAATAATAATTGCGTCTATAGATGAAAATCTATAAATAACTTTTTAATTAATTAATTTACTACGCCTCGTCGGCTGGCGGTATTCATTTGTCCTTATTCAATGCGGTTTCTGGTAGTTTCCTTCGAAAATATCCAACTTTACCTGTTTCATATTTACATCTTAAGTGGCTAGTTTGATCTATTAATTTCCATTTAGGCGGTCCTTAATTACGTTTTGCTTAAACACTTACATTACATTTTGTCGATATATAAAATAATATTTTTAATCTGCGTATACTTCTTTGAATTGAAACACAAAAATAGACGAAAAACAAAAATCTCTCTCAGAGACGTAAGGAAATTTTTGAATTTTATAATTACTTGAGACTTCTTCTAAAAATGTTTCTTACATGTGTTTAAGAAGGCTTCTTCATTAGGTATTCAGTTGCTTAGATGGAAGAGCAGTCATTACTGAGAGCATGTTTGTTCGAGTAGTCTTACCTGTGACGCTTTTTTCCAAGTATTGCAAAGATATTCAGACAGTATTATGAATGCAATATTCACTATATAGTTATATCCATTTCTGTCGTGCAAACGATTAGATTGTCGGCGTCAGAGATGGCACTATAGAAGTATTACTCTAGTGAATGGAATATCAATCGATTATCGAATGAATTATCTAAATTTACACAGCAGGGAGTAAAAAGTAAATCTTGCCTGTAATTCTTAGTACAAAGTCTCCAGTTATAGATTTGCAATCAGAGGATAGATGTTTAGACTTTCTCAAATAGTCACGCGTAACAGCATTGATAATAATGAATAAATGTAATGACGGCGAGAAAAATTATCCGTAGGAAATGCTGATTCTTCAATTTCATTATCATGGAGGTACCGATGAAACATCTGATTTCGAATTTTCCGTAGAATCGATCTAAACAATGGGCGGACATTATAACTGCCTTCCAGAGTAATAAACATCTCAGATCACAATTTCCCAAACCTTCAATTACCACAGTTCAAACTATTAATCGTCCGAATCAACAGGGTATCATGCTTCGTGGCAGATTTACAGTGACAAGTCGCAACCGTGCAATAATTATAGGCTCAGTTATATCATGACTTTGAAGTTTCGCTATATTATTTGAAGGTACCTTAATAATTGTCCTTCTATTGCCCCTTTGGGGTTTGGTAGCGGTCCTTATTTCATTTATCATGATTTGAGGAATTATTAATAGTTAGTAAATTTCAATTAAAAAGATAAATCGGGAATATTGGAGTGAAAGCAGCTTTTTCTTATTGTGTAATATATTGAAATTGGTCTTCTATCTATTGTTAGTTTTAGATAAAACCAAGGCTTCTTGTGGCCTGTCCCTAAATCAAAGGAAGTCTATTTTAAATAGTAATTATTTATCTTAATATGATGTAAGATGTGATTAGTGTTTATTGTTGCTTAATAGGTCTTTCAGTGCGTTGGTTCATTTCATCGGCTGAAATTAATTGGTGACATAAGAAAATAACTCTGACAATTGGAGTAACTAATATATATTTATGATAACATTTAGCATTCTTTCCTAATCTAAGTGATCGCTCTAACCATCTAATTTTATTAATATTTTCTACAATGTAATTAATCTACTTGCCATACAGGAAAAAATTCTTACTAGTGCAGAAATTTTTATATTATGTTCAATACGGTAAATCATATTAACTGTATATTTTTTCTTTATTTTAACTTCCTGAAAAACTATGTCTTTAATCATGTTGACTACCGATTTTTAGTAATGTATATCTGATATGATATTTGTTTATTTCTAATAAAATGAAAATGTTTAATAATATTATGATGAACAATTACACAGGAAGAAAAGAAATAGTATACGAAAGGTGGTTTCATTGTTATCTGTTCCAGGCAACCTATCAATCATCAATTTTAATATTGAAATATGATGAAATATTGTAACTTAAAAAAACATTCATAAGCATGTTGTATTAGAGATACTGAACCCATACAAGAAATGAGTACTGATAACAAATTTTTCCTGTCCAACATATAAGTAGGCTTCATATTAAGAGATTAAATGCAGTAAAAATTAGGTTTTTTGCAAAAATCTTTACTACGATAACATGTGCGGCGAGTTATGCTTACAAAAAATATGGTTGAGAGAAGCGATGGCTCGCTCAAGTGTCACACTCGTAAAATACTGCTGTTTGTTGAGGTAGTCTTAAATTTATAACGCCATCCTATTCTAGTATTCATATTGTTTATGATAATCAATGAAAGTAATACTAGTAAAATATATTTGTATAATTTATTTATTTTGTTTATACAATAAGTCAATTATAGGTTTCCGCATATAGATATAGCTTAGATCTAATTAATTATTTTGTACACGAACTACAACATCAAATATATAATCATAAGTGCGATATAATTCAACGAGAGCGTAAATATTCTATTAATTTCCGGTTTAATTAATGTTGCAATCGGATTGTTGATTAATGTTTAAATATGTTTACAAACGATTTTTTATTTTTAATATTAATAGTGACAATAGATACAATACTAATTTATTTGCATTTAAATCAGGGAGCAATGAAGATCTTAATCAATCTAATGAGTACTATGAAAACCAATGAAGTATTTTAGAAATAAACAAACCTCTTTGGGTTTCTTGCAGGTTCTTTTCGATACGAGAATTTTCACTGTATTTTCTTTAGGTTTAATGATAAGTACTTGTTATCAGCCTACATTAAAATTTAACTTGAATACCTAAGTATTTATGTAATTCATCACTGTTATAGTATTGTTCAAATAATTATGGATTTTAAAGGGGTTTTATATCAAAGCTTGATATCAAATTATTTCAAATTTACCTGTAAGAGTTCTCCTCGGTTGTGATGGCGTACTTCTTGGTGGGGAGTACCATCACATTGTCGTATACCCAATATGAGATGGCCCTCGGGTGTGCTTCCGTGTGACAGTCCACGGTCACATCCGTCCCTGATGGAGCACCGACCAGTTGATTCGGCACCCAGATCATCGGGGAAACTGTCACATTTATCAAAATTTACATATTAACTAAAATATAATAAAATACCAAATTAAACTAAAATATTGTTTTATTTAAATTGAAACGAAGGCAGGCGAAACGCGAGGTTGAATTGTTCCTAAGGGATCTAGACTACGTAGAGACAGAAGAATTAATATCAATACCTTTTTAGGTAAACTTTCCAGTACAACGGAACTCCTATCCACACTCATACACACTCACACACACACGCACACACACACAAACACACACACACACACACAAACACACACACACATACACACAAACACACACACAAACACAAATACACACAAACACACACACACACTAACACACACCCCACGCGGTCAACACTGACTCAAACTAAATATTATATTAGTCCAAATAATAAAAATAAAGAATACTATAGTTCTAAATTATAAACTAATATTGATAAAAAATAAAAAAAAATAAATAACTTTCAATTTAATGCAATATAAACCGTGCGCCTTGTAATTTGAATGTGAGTAAGATATGTATATTTTTTTGGTCGCTACAAGCCAAGCTTTGCTTAGTGTAAGGATAGAAGCATAGTTTGTTAAATGTTAATTGAATATAAAGTTATTATTTTTATAATTATTTATTAATTGAAACGGTTTGAAAAGGCAAGGTAAAGCGTTTGAAGGGTATCGACTATTTATTAATTCTGTTGAATGATCTTCCAAATCTACTGTTACTTAAGAAGTTTAATACCGAGAGCACAAAATGAACCATTCCTAGAATACATTTCTAAAATGTTATGTGATCATTATATTTACAAATTTTACATTCACAATGCTTTATTGGAAAATATTCTTAATGAAAAATCGAAGTGAAAAAAACATTAAATTTTTAGCTACAGCCTCTGCTACTGTGAGATGGGACTCGAACCCATGATCTTTTGCGATTCGGGCGACTGCTCTAATCACTGAGCTATCCAAGACCTGACAGGAACGTATAATTTTCGCGGATTCGAGTCCCATCACAAAGTACCTGGTGTTGGTGAATTTTTAAAGCATTTTTATTAAGATAGAATTTGCTGTATGATCCGTTGGAACATTAAATAATCCTCGTATTTCAAAAACTTATGGTTTTTTATAACGAAAATTACATGGACATATATCTCAGTGGATTGCATTGTATTTTAAAAGTGTCTTAGAAAATGAACAATAATCTCAATTATCCCAATTTTTAACAGGCTGACATTTTTTGCAAAGAAATCTGTGCAATTTATCTCCACAATTTTGTTCTCCTACATGAAAACTCAGCGAACATTTAAGGATTTTGGGTGCCAGATGAAAGATTACAAATATTCTCAACTGCAACTACGGCCATTGTTTAGTGGACCACAACATTATATGCTATGATATTTTTACGTGTTGTGAGTTTCAAGTTTGATTACAAATAAGTAATCATTAAAACATTGCAAAACTTGAAAGTGAATGAAAATGTATTAAATAATTTAGTTATACTTTATTACCAACAGAAAGTATACCAACAGCTAGGAAAGAAGAATTAGCCCAGACACTAAACTTTGCTCATATGGGGATGAGAAACAAAACTAACTAAAATACCAGTTTGAACCCGTAAAGAGGTGAACTCTTCGTCCCGGGAAATTGCTTGGAGCAACAACATCTATATAAAAAAGAAAAAAATTAGCTGTAGTTTTTGTTAATATTTTGATGTGGTAGGTAGTAATTAAACTATAAGATTACTTAAAATATGTCAATTTAAATATATTGTAAATGTTTAAATAATTTTCGAACAGTTTCAAAGCAAAACTAAACTTCAATATTTAAATTTAAACTAGACAAGCGATTACTATTTATCATGAATTACTATTGATTTATTATAATGATTCCAGTAATGGCGCTGTTAAAAATAATGAACTTAGAAAAATAAAATAGGAGCGAATCTTTAAACAGTACCAAGTTATCTTAGAACCGTTGAATTGTACTTTATCAATCAATAACTGGGTGAAATAGAACAGTACACTGTACTAAAAATTTGGATGGAAGCAATTTATAAACTTTCAATCATGATAGATAGTGCGGGGCGCGCTACCCCTACGCCGATTTTTCACACAAACCTTAGGCATAATAAAATCCAGTGTGAGGATGTAATTCACATTCCCAGGACTTTATGGTGGCAATTTTGCTCCCCGGTTATATTACTTTTGCCGCTTGATGCTATTTAAATATTCTACGACGTTTTAAAAATGTATCAAGTTTCTGGTGAAAATTTTCACACGCGCCCTTTATAGAAGTATTTTTAATGGCTTGAATTCTTGATCCCGAAGAAACAGTGTCGTAAAATATTGTATTAGATTAACATAAAAATGTTTTTATGATAATGAAATAAGAGCAGTTAAAGGTAACCAGATATTTGAATCTGTAAAACCTTTTGCATGTAATTATAGAATTTTCACTGAAGTACGATCAGAAAAATACAAAATCTTTCTGTTTTTACTAAACAAATTTTACTTTTGTCCCGACTTGGTCCAAATGGCAATAGTTATGATTATATAGACTTTTTCTAACATATTCCACAAATATTAACCAGTGGCTGATAAATTTAATATCGTCTATCTGATAATTCTATCCAATCGGCAAGAGTTGTTTGGTTTCGACTTACAGAAAATCTTTGATTGTATTAATAGGCAGTTACGTTTCGACTCGAAAAGTTTTCTTATAATAAACCCTCTAAAAATGTTACGATTATTAATTTAAAAATTGAATTTCACTTTTATGAGTTAAAGGTAAAAAAAATATAATAATTTAATTTTAATCGCCGACACTGTTAAGTGAGTTGTATTAATGCAGTCGGCGAACGGTGCGTCATCAATTCAATTTTCAATTGAATGTTTGATTAGATGACTTATTAGTTTTCCAAACACTTAGAATAATTTATTTTATTGTCTAGTACAGTGATTTTAAACCACTGTGCCGCGGCACTTTTATGTGCCGCCAAATTTTGCAAATATATAATAATGTTAATATTATTAAATGATATCATTTAAAAAGAAAAATATTTTTAACATGAATATATATTTTAATCCACAAAAAAAATATTATTTGCTTTGCAATGCGTTTTTCTTAGTGCCAAATTATGATGAAGCGGCGTGCATAGCAATAGGAATATATCTCAAGTTGGCGCACACTTGCCACTTCTGCGTACAAAACGTGTTGTTTTAGTGATAGTTGGGATTCACAAGGTGTTGCATAGTAGTTACTGCACCTTTTCTTTCGTTAAAATTGGCAAATGTATGTGATTCGGTTTACTATTAATTTATTAGCATTTAGTGTCAATTTATAAATTTGTAAACCAAAAAAGCTTTAAACATATTATTACAATTTTCCACATCTTATTTCTGTGAATTCGGATTTTCAGCATTAGCCAATATTAAAACTAAAAAAAGATCAAGATTGTTAAATCTAGAAGACGATATGAGAGTAGTATTGTCATTTTTACGACCAAATATAAATGAAATTATCAAAAAACATCAAGCTCAAATTTCACATTAAAAATATTTTTATTATTACCTTGTAATTAATCCCTTAATAAACGTTTAGTCTAGTAAAAACACCACTCATATAATGTTCCACAATAAATTGGCTAACATTTTCATTTGCTCCCCTTTTTTTCCTCAAGGATCGTATGGCCTGCAATTGCAATCTCGCACACCATGCACCGTGAAAGAATATTATCTTTCAATTATCGCGCCGCCGCCATCTCGTCGTCTATTTAGTCAGCTGGGCCGGCAATAAGAATTGAAAATAAAGGGAAAGCGCCTTGTTAAGTGGGGGACCATTTTGTCTCCCGGAAATAGGTTTTTGAAGAAAACAACTCTGTCTTTTGTTCGAGTAACTGTCATTTTTTTGCGATATACATATATATTTTATTTCCTTCTTATGGAATTTCGATATAGAATGCTACGATCTAAAGTAAACATTTTAACATTCACTTTCTTTTGGGGAAACAAAAAATTTAATTTAAACATTAAATTTACATTTTCTTCGTTTCATTTGTCTTTACTTGATGAAACACACTCGTCTTTATATCACCAATCGCTATGTCAAATAATCACATTTAAACCAATTACCAAACCTACATAGATCTGTTTCAAGAATTCTTCTTCAAATATCTTTGTATAGTCATTCACTAGGAGTAACACACTGATTGTACATATGGGAAAGTACATAATGTTAAACCACACTATGTAATTATTCTATGCTTAACCTCGAGACACTAAACATTTACGAGGAAAAAAATACAAAACAGAAAATACGTTTCCCCAACCGAACGAGCTTTCTTTTTAAATATTAAAATTCAAAACACCTATTTTTTATTCGAATTTCTACCACGCTCCGAGCGAATACACACATTGAATTTAGTTAGTTTCACAGATAAAAAAATAGCCTAGACTAATAGATTTTTATATAGATTAACTTCACGGGAATCAGATTAATACGTAGTACTATTAGCCTGTTACGCTGTTAAAGAGATTAATGACCAGCCAAAAACGTCATATAGTCAATTTCAATGAATACACCAAGTGAGCAAAGTATAGCATCTTTCTTCTTATGGTTATATAAAAATAAACATTTATTACTTACATTCAACATCGACAATAATTCTCTTGGACACCGACGGTGGCACAGCGTTGGTAGCAATGCAGAGATATGCTCCCATTTCAGTGCGGCTGATGCGCTGCAAACTCAGAGTATCACCTTCATACACTGTCACTGGAACAAAGAAAATGATATCTGGTATAGTTTTGAGGCTTATATCGCACAAATGGGGTTATGGTCATAGTTAAATAATTTTATATATTCGCATTATCTTGTAAAGTATGCTGAATTTGACGTGAAGATTTAAACTAGAATAAAACCTTTTCGAGTGCTATTCACTATAATCCATGAATCTTACTGCCAGTTTCTGAATAGTTTTTTCTCACTCAAATTTAATAACTTTAGTTTCTCAAATGTAAAGTCCATTATTTTGTAACGCTGATGTATCCTAGTAGAGTCTTAATAAATCAGTTTTGAAAGAAATCCAGGTTTAATAAATTTTAAATGTCTATTGAAGGTAAAATTGTAGCCTTCCCATAAATTAATTTTAATATTCAGATATTGTAAGGAGGTACTGTTATAATCCTTTAGCTACCCACTAAATTGAAAATGACGCAATATAAAAATCAAACAAAATGGAATTCGTGGACTATCCATTTTGAATATTGTTAGAGTTCTATCGGAAATATTGGTAAAAAAATCGCTCGCGGCATCACAGAAACACTAAATATTAGAGTGTACTATAACTCACTATAGTTTTCATTTTACAAGTACAACAGAAAATGTAGAAACATGTCATGTGTAAATAAATTGATACTGATGAAAATCCCGCAACGTAAAATTTTATAATATACTATACTTCTGACGTAATTTTTGTTTATGTGGATATCTGTATAATCTCTTTATAGATAGAGGGTATTTTATTATTATTATAACCAATAACTGCAGTACGACGCCAACTGCTGAGCATAGGTCTGAGATCTCCACGACTGTCAGTCCTGTGCTCCTGTGCTGTCCGCATCCAGCGGCTTCCCACACCTTTATAAGAATACTACCTTTTATTTCTCGAGTTACCGATATTTCGACGCTGTGGCTTCGCGCTATATAAGATCTTCTGTCCATCTGGTGGAAATCAACGTACTCAGCGTCATCTGGGGCATGGTCGCCATTCCAGCCCCAATTTTCCGCCCCAATGGCCATAGTCCTTCTATCTATGCATCCTTATCATCATATGAACTTCGCAGGTGTCTTTCTTTCATTATGTAGCTAAATTATGCGCAGGGGTGTGTGAATAATTTATTAAATATTTTATAACATGAGAGTGATAACACCACGTCTCACTATATCATCGGACACAGAACGCCACGCCGGATTGTCTTAAATTATTTAACATTTTAAAATTTATATTATTAATTTCTATCTTAATGAGGTTACAACATAAACTGCGCACCTGCCTCACCAACTGTACTGAGGAGAATGTTACAACAATACAGTTTTGACTTTATAATATTAGTAAGATAATTTTAGATACAACAAATCACCTTTTTAACTGAAATTTCTTAGAAATTATAATGACATGACAAATTCTAGGTTAACTAACTAACAGCTTTTGATTTGATTAGAGAAAATGATTTCCACAAACTTGACTTTTTATATTCTACTGTTTTGAGATTCAATAAAATATACCTAAATTAATTTATCAATATTTCATACTCGATACAAAGTTTTCGAGTTTCTGTAACCTGTTTTTAACCTTAATTGAAAATAATCTTTCTATTTAATTATAAAATACCAGGTTCAGAATTGTGTTTAAGCATCAGATAATCTCAAGTTTTACTTAAAACAGCGATACATCATAGCCGACTACTTAGTTGGCCATCCCTCCATCAAATATTCAAGATAAAAGGCATAATGTCTCGTCGGGCCACGCCTCGACTCGTAAAAATTAAAAATTCGCACCGCGTCGCATCTCTCCGCGCGCCCATCAAGTGGCCAAATGAGTTTGCCTGTATTTACAATTACGTGACGTTTTCTGGCCACCGGAGCACAATGAATGTAACGAGAATGGCTCTGCTTGATGATATGAAGTAATTACCGTTCCAACTGATGCCAGCGTCTACTTTTTGACTCACTGACCCGAATCGCTTAAATTATTTATTCATTCATTTCGCATCAGACTATTAATGTACTGATGAAGCTCAAACCTTTTCATTGTCCACCACAGAGGCCCATTTCGGGTAGACGTTAATGACTTCCATTCCGATGATTGTTATTTGCAGAAATCGTAAAGCATTAACAAGAGCGCTATAGAGCTTTTTTAAGAAGGGAATTTTCTTAGAATAAATAAATACCTCATCATAGAAAACCTACTAATTTGAAAGTTGTTATACAAATCAATCTTCTTCAAAGCTTTGTCGCTAAACGAAATTATCTATTCCTTAAAAGCGATCAACAGTATGAATGACTGTCAAAACCCACACTTCTTTTCTGCGGCGATCTAATGAAATGCGGGGCGAGTCATCGCGTAATCATTTACACCGCTCAAATTGGAGCTTTCAGGACAACCCACTCGAACGGCAGATACCCATTCGGCAAATAAAAGAGGTACGTTCCCACCGTATTAATACTAACAAAAGCTTACCGTCCAAATTGGAAAGAGAGTTTTCCAATGCGATGAGTAATTAAAACGTTTTCGCTCCCCCGAAAATAATCGAGCCAGGTGGCCGTGACGCGAAGACTGGGGTCACACACAATTAGTGAAGAGTGCCACTCGACGTCACACGTTAATTCCCCACTTGAGCAAGAAAAGCGCTCTTGAAATTAAACTCAATTTTTGGACGGCTTTGTCAGGCGCTAACCGAAACGGGTGCTTCAAACGCTTAATTCTCCGGCACTCGGCTACGCCATAATTGTCTTGGAACCAGATTTTTCTTGGAGAGGTTTAATCCGAGGTTTTAAAGTCGACGTTTTATTATGATATCGCAGGTACAGAATTAGCTTCCTGTGCTCAGCAGTGGGTAGATCTAACAATAACCATTTTGTATGAGAATAAGTGGTGAAATGAGGGAGCTAGAATACTCTAGAGATAATGCAACGGAATATTTTTATCGTAAAGACTTCAATTTGGTTCTAGCGGTGTAGAAAACAGCTCGGGGATTTACTTTAACGAATTTAAATTCATATAGAGATATATCGTGGAACTTTAACCGAGAAAAAATGAGTATTTATACCTTTAAGGAAGCAATATATGTTAATAATAATAATCTCTTAACTGTACTGTGCAGATTTTATATAATACGACTGCATAACATAATATAATTCAACCTATTATAATTGTGAATTAAAATTTTGTGTATATTTAAGTATATTATGTTTACATTGATAGAAATACACTTACTAGGCAGGAAAGTAACAATATGAGAAAATCTACTATTTACGGATTCAAATCCCATCTCGGGTATGTGAGACTATAAAATTATAATTTATTTTTCTTTAAAATAAATATTAATGTATCAAATATATTAAAGTCCTTTATTAAGGAACTTAAACTGAAAACTGTAGTAATGGTATTTGATTTCATTTTATCCACATACCTTTCTTCCTACGATCCACTGATATTGCTTGGCCATCCTCTCTGCGCCACATAATCTTCGGATTAGGAAACCCATCAGCTTTGCATACCAGACTGATGTTTTGATTTTCTCTGACCGCAACCGCTGACTGAGTACTCTCTTCGTCCAAAATGTTTGGTGGTACTGCAAAAAACACAATTATTTACAAATATTCATCATAGATACTCATTAGCCTTTCACGTCGCTTTCAAAAGCTTCGTTTTAGATTTTTAGAATACGTGAACACTAGCTTCATAACTTGGGATCTGCATAATGTAAGTGATTTTGTCTAATATTAACATTGTATTTATGTTTCTATTAGGGCTCTCCTACAATATACTGATACAGACTGCCCAATGTTATGCTCCATTTGTATTTGTTCTATTGTAAGGGGATTTCAATCACAAATTTTGATAGTTGACAAAACTGCCCGGCATGACTGAAAGTTAGTGTCTAATACATCCTGAGTCAAATTTGTTTGATACTATATTTTGCTTTGCTTCAGTACTTTGTTTCAATAAAATATTGCTGATAAAATATTATATTAAGCTTATTATCATAATTTTTTTTATATTGATTGCATTCAAATATAAAATAATCTACACAATCGTTTTTATTTCAATACACATTAAGTTAAAAATACCTCGTATAATAATTGATTTAAAAACAAATCGTCCTCTTTGAATATCTTGAAATGGTTGATAAATCTTCCAATTTAACAGTTCTTAAAACTAAGCAACAAAGCGAAGATAAAACCAACCACGAACTCAGAGGGGACCAGAAAAGGCAACGTTTTATTTCCACTTAAAACTTGTGACTACAGCCATAGTCAATATTAAACACCAGTACGTCTGCCACGGATAGTTACCCTTTATGTTTAATAAGAATGATGCCTGGGTAAAAAAATATATTTACTCCATCAGTCAGATAATAGAAAAATATAAGTTGCATATTTGCTTCAGGTTAACTAGAAATGCGAGGGCTTACTGCGTTATAACTTTTCATATGAAGAAAATATTCACACAGGCACGTCAGGTATTTTGTGGTAAAATGTCAAAATACCGCAATTGTCTTTACTCTGTACGCTTCTTTACAGATTTGCTAGAAATCAGCTTGGACGAAATTGAGAGAGCCCTCAAACAGCTCAAAAAGCGAAAAAGCCCCAGGCGAGGATGGTATTTCGACTGAGCTCCTGAAGGCAGGCGGTGAGCCTGTAAGGAAGGAACTCCAAAATATCTTTAATGTCGTTGTTTTTGAAGGGAGAACTTCAGAGGCGTAGAGCAGGAGTGTTGTCATACTGTTCTTTAAAAAAGAATACAAAACCCGCCTAAAGAACTACCGACCGATTACTCTCTTGAGCCACGTCTAGAAGCTGTTTCAAAGGTTATCACAAACCATCTCTCACGAAGACCACATTTACAGAATGCAGAAGATTAAACAAAAACACGTTGCAAGATTTATAGCAGATGCTGAGTGATCTGACTCTTATCTACGCATCGGGCTTCGGATGAATTTGAACAAAACGAAATTCATGTCGAACTCCCATGTTATTCCGAGATCGATTATGGTATAAGACAGTGTCCTAGAAGTTGTTCCAGACATGTTTACTTTCGGCAAATAGTGTAGTTGGGTAAAGACAACTTCAAAAAGGAGATCGATAGAAGGATACAGCTAGATTCGGCAGGTTGGTAAATTACGACACCAATCTGCCATCTTCGCGTCATCTATCCCACAAAGTCTAAAGACTTCAATAAGTGTGTCCTACCTGTTATGACACACGGAGCCGAGACGTGGACATTCACAATGGGACTTATCCATAAGATGAAAGTCACTCAGTGAGTTATGGAGGCAACCCATCGAATCTGAAATGAGGTGATTCATCATAAAACCAAAGTAATCGACATAGCCCACCAAATCAGCAAGTTGAAGTAGCATTGGGCAGGCCACATTAGCCGTAGAACCGATAGTCGGTGGGACAAACACACTCTAGAGTGGTGACCGCGGATCGGCAAGCGTAGTGTGGGACGCCCTCAGAAAAGGTGGGAAGATGATCTTCGTAAGCTGGCTGGCAGAAACTGGATGTAAGTAGCCGTTGATCAAGTTCCATAGCGTGCGCTTGGAGAGGCCTATTTCCAGCAGTGGATGAATACGCGCTGATAATGATGATGACATAAAGGTTTAAATCAATCAATCAATCAATCAATCAATCAATCATTTATTGCATAAAATATGGTGTAACAGATGTCATAAAATAAGCGTATCACATATTTACTGTTTGACAGTGTGCAATAGTTTTAGTAGTTATATAAATTTACATTTTAATCTATTCATGCATTAACTATGATATTATTTTATTCGCACATCATTCACTTAAAAAACATTTCATTTAGTTCCTATTACATATTATTTCAGTCTTATAGTTTAAAATTAAGTAATAGTAATAATGTCAAAATTCGAATCAATTTATATGTTACAAAAATAATAAGTCAAGTAAGCTTAATACATAAATCCATGTCAATTACAAAATAATTTTATCATACACATTATAAAATATGTCATTGTATATAATTTATTTATAGTGTCGTTGTATATAATAATTTATTTATTTATAAGCGATTTTTACTCTACTAAAATTGCTTGCATTCCAAATATTCCTGTATCGAGTAAAATGATTTGTTCAGAAGCCACTCCGTCAAAGCTTTTTTAAAAATGTTTCTGTTAATCGGTAAGTCTACTAGTTTCGATGGAAGCTTGTTGAATATATTTATAGCCATATAATATACATTTTGTTTGAATAATGTCAAATTACATTTCGGAATAACAATTTTATTTTGTCTCGAACTTCGTGGGTCTTTTTTTATCTCTCTGACTTTAGTAAAATATTGTGGATTTTTTTTTACAAATAAACACAGTTCACAAATATAAATGCAAGGCAAAGGTAATATTTTTAATTCTTTAAACATAGGCTTACAGGAGTCACGTCTTTTTATACCACATATTGCTCGTATGCATTTTTTTTGAGCTATAAATAGTCTTTTCATATCCACGCTATTACCCCATATTATTACAGCATAACGTAGCAAGGACGACACGTATCCATGATATGCTTGTAAGGCTATATTTTTAGAAGCGACTATTCTGACTCTATAAAGTGCAAAAACGAATTTATCTATTTTTGTAGCTAAACTATCAATGTGATTTTTCCAGTGTAAATGTTCATCCAGAGTTATGCCTAAAAACCGCGCTGTACTTACTACGTCAATATTGGAATTTTTATAATGTATATTTAAGTTTATTCTTTTAGATTTAGCTGTATGAAATTGTATTATGTTAGTTTTTGATATGTTAATTTTTAAATTGTTTTTGTTTAGCCATTCTATTACATTGGAAATTGTGTTATTAATTTTGTTTTCTAGTTGGTCAATATTTTTATTTTGAAACAGTAGTGCTGATGACTATCAGCAAATAAGAAACAGTCATTTGTGGTTATATCAGGGAGGTCATTGATGTATAGTAAGAAGAGTAAAGGTCCTAAGATGCTGCCCTGTGGTACACCATTTTTTATATTTCGATAATTTGAACGAATGGTTTCTTTGATATTACTTTCCATTCTTATTATTTCTGTACACTGTTGTCTATTTCTCAAATAACTTTCGAACCATTTGTACGCTGAGCCTCTCATGCCATAGTCAAAAAGTTTTTTCATTAATATGTCATGATTCACACTATCAAAAGCCTTTGACATATCAAGAAATACTGCCACTACAGGGACTCTATTATTTAAAGATTCAATTACTTTTTTTAACAATTCAAAACAAGCTTGTGTAGTAGACTTTCCTTCCTGAAATCCGAATTGATTATTATTGATTACACTATGTTTATTAATGAATGATTTTAACCTTTCAGCCATTACTTTCTCAAATATTTTTGAAAATACTGGTATGAGTGTAATAGGTCTATAGTTTCCTATATCACTAGTGTCTCCCTTTTTGAATAATGGTTTTATTACTGAAAATTTCAGTCTATCCGGAAATGTACCACTTTCTAATGAAGCATTTATTATATGTGATAAAGGAGATTTAATACTTTTGGAGCATGCTTTAATAATATCTGTGTTCAGATCATCATAACCCACTGATTTTGTATTTTTCAACTTTAATATTATTCTTTCTATTTCTGTTTCTGTAGTTGGATATAGAAATATACTGTTTTGGACTTTATTTTGATTTGTGTTTTCTATTTTCTTGTTTTTATTTTCAGTTATTTCTGTATAATACTCATTAAATGCTTCACATAGGTCATGAGCGTTATTTAGATCTTTATTTTTATATTTTATGGTTTTAATTAAATTTTTTGTTGGTTTTCTATTTATATTATTATTTATAATTTTCCATGATGCCATACATTTATTTTTAGCATTTATAATGAATTTTGAATTTGTTATTTTTTGCGCCGAATTGAGGCATTTATTTAGTATCTTATTATATTTCTTATAATATGTTTTGTTTTTCTCCTTATCTTTTTTACTCGAATGCATATATTTATAATAGTATTTACGCTTTTCCCGACAGCTCTTTCTTAATCCTTTTGTAATCCACTTAACTTGTTTTGTATTATTACTTAATCTTATTCTTGTTATGGGGAAACATTGGTCATAAAACATGGTAAAAGTATCATGAAACATATTATAGGCTTCATTCGTATCTTTTATTTCTAATACATTTTGAAAAGTCAAAGAATTAATATCATTAATCAATGATGATGATATAAAGGAAATTGACAGTTTTGTATAACCTGACGTGCTGTTGACTATACATAGACGTACATTTGTACATATACTATACATACGCATCTGATTGTTTTCAATAACTACCAGGCAAACAAAAATATTGATACTCATACACTCCCTATTCGAGGACAGTATATTTATATAAGAACCGGAACGCATTGGTAAGTACGAATTGTCATTTAAAAGATGAGTGCTTGTTATCACATATGCTACCAGATTCTGTGGTTTTGTAACTTATTATTATAGAAATCTTCTGTATTAAGAATCATACTAGTCACCAGTTTTATGTTTGACACCCATTCAAGACAAACCCATCCCAGATTGGCTATAAAACAAGATTTAATGTTCTCAGTATATTGGCGCCAATAACTTTTTGGATGTTTTTCAGTAACTTTCTAAAGAAACATTTCGGCTGATATTTATCCTATTAAGTGAAAGTATATTTAACAGAGTAACTGTCCTCTCTGTTTACTATGGTTCAATGGAGAAGAGAGTGTTTTCCTCCCAATCAGTTACTGGACACGCCTATGCCATTTCGATCTCTACTTTTTTTTTATTCACACTCGTATAGTAGATATGTTACTTTACTGTTATTCGGATTTAAACTTAAAATTTGAATGTTCATGATATAGATATGTTTTTAATTACCTATAATTAACTGTCTGTCATCCATATGTGAAGTAATAAAATACGTTTTATCAGAGAGATTACTTAATTTAAATAATCTTATTTAAACACGTATTAAAATATCTTCGTAGTCGAGTGGCTCGTAACCTCTGTTTCTATGTTTTGCAATTTCTAAAGTACAGGAATCGATTTCTGGTCATATCGATGTTGAAAATGACCTTTTCTAAATTGTTTTGTTTGAAAATGGTTGCAGTACATGACTTATTTCAGACTGTATCATTACAAAGGGTTTATATATTTAGTCTGGAATCTGAGCGAGGTCTGTGCTGTCGTCTTATATTTTAATTATCTTTATTACATCAACAAATATTGATTACCTTTCCATCACCTGTTCAGTCCATCAATTAATTGAATATTTCCAAAAAGTCAACAGCTTTTATTTGTCATTGAGAATAATGGTGCCGTCATAAGAATTGATACCGAAAATTCATCACGGCTATTCTCTTTTGTCGTCCAGGTATAAAAACCTTTAAATGAAACCCGTATCGCTTCAGAAGGGACCTCCCTATTTTATTACTCCCCCGGGAATGAAGTGTCGCTAAATAAATCTTTTAAAGTGAAACCGCGTACCTTGCATATTTTTTTTTATATCAAGCTATAATTTCAAGAGAGTAACTTTGTAATTAGTGTTTTATGTAAATTGAATACCTAATAAGTTTTTGTGTTCTTTTTATGTTATTGTTGATTATTATTAGCAAGTGTGGAGAGAGGAGAGATGGTGTAGTGGTTAGTGTTATATACGTTTGTGGGTGTTAAGAAACTTTCGCAAAGGCTTATCTTTGGATGGGTAGCTCCTTTGTTATCTTGAGGTTCTCCATGGAAAGCATGCTAATGCGTAAATCCACGCTGAATTTTCAGTCACCAATAACCATCAATCCGCCTTGGGCCACATTGTGGGTTAGGCTCATTCTTATTTTTCGTGATTCCATCTATGACAAAGGCTATATTGATAGGCGATGATTACTATAATTAAGTACTTTGTGAAATTATTACTTAACCACCAATTTATTCTCATAAAGAAAATAAAAATATCGCTGTTGCATTTTCAATAGAAAATTTATCAAATATGATATTCAGATATTGTTGTTAAATCTTACTTATAACTCATACACGTTATCTAACTTTTCGCTGAATAACATTTTTCATAAATCAAGTACATAAATTGAAATGTTTATTTTCTTCGATTACTACATATATTTTCGACGTAGACCTTCAGATCTCGTAGACATTAAAATTAATTGCCATTCCTCGGTACCGTTTTTAAGTCACAAGATTAAATAGCAAAATTATTTTAAAATAGTTTGAAAACGGTTATTTATGGAAAATACTGGAAAAAGTTTAATTTTAATGAGACGATTTCGGTTGTATCAACTTATTTTATATAAAAGTAAACGAGAAATGCAAAAATACTGAGTAAGACATGATTTTATAATTTATGTAGATACTTTTAAATTAAATAAATAGTTTACATCTGTAGAGATCTGTGGGTTTGAGTCGCTCTCGATTGTTATAGAATTTATTCCAGAATATTCAGTAGGTAGCGCATATAAAGCGACAGGGCCTGGATTAAAATTTATATAGGTATTTTGGGCTTAAGTTCCATTTTGTGGATATATTTACCAAATACGTTTAATATTTAAGAACAAGATACGCTCAGGACATAAAAATTTTATTATAAAAAAATTATAAATATTGTAAATTTCATCGAGTTATTTGTTAATATAATAAATAATCTCTCTCGTCGGATAAAACGTGTTTCAAAATCGGGTAGTTAAAAAAGACAGTGGATAAAGTAAATATGGATTAGGGTTGTAGTTAAAGAACTCAATTGTTATAGAGATTTGTTCCATTATTGGATTCAGTTTATTCAGATTAAAAAAATATATATATACAAAACCCTAATTATATGAAGTAGTGTAAGCTTCACGTCGCGGTGTCAGTATTCAACACTTGCTTTATCAACATTTTAACCCCCAAAAAGAAACGAAAAAGAGGGGTGTTATAAGTTTGACCCCTTTGTTTGTCTGTTTGACGTGCAGACATGCAAAAATATGTTGGTACAAATATAAATAAAGGTTTTCGAAATCGTCTCCATAACGACTTATTAGTTATCATTGCATTGCTTTTAATTAATTATACTCACCTACGACCTGAAGGTAGCCCACTTGGCTTATCATCGGGTTGGTGTTGACCTGGCACATGTAGTATCCCCTGTCCTCCTGCTGCACCTGGCTCACGTGCAGGAGCCACGTCATCGCGTTGTCGTGCGATACGCTGAACCTGGTCAGCCGCGTGATCACGTGTCGGTGTATTGTCAAGATCATCTGACGGTCGATGTGAATCCACGCCACCTGACGTACAATTATATTTCATTAGTAAAAAAACCAGGCGAGTGTGAGTCGATCTGCTCATAGAATCTATGAAAACGGCAAAATAATCATGGGAGGCCCCCTAAATGTTTATTTAGTATTTGGTTTTATGGCGACAATAGAAATATATCACCTGTGATTTAACTGATTAGCTATCACTGTTTGGTGATATTCGGGCAGATAGACAGACGAATAGACTGCGGAATCTTAGTAATATGGTCCCGCTTTTACCCCTTGGGAACTCTAAAAAGATAAAAGTAAATCTCTCATTAGCAGTACAGTGATTGGCACTAAAATATCTGTTAAATAATTACAAAATAGGATATTTATTTGATTGCCAGTCATAACAAATGCTATGGAGACTCGACTCTCTTTTTAAGTGTAACTTCAGAAGAGTCTTACTAAGTAGGTTAGTACTTATAAAACAATATCTAACAACTCCTGGTGGTGCTCAATTGAAAGGTATTTCACTAACTCTTCAAATATTATTATTTGAAGAGTTAGTGAAATTATTGGGTACTAGTGGACGCCCGCGACTTCGTCCGCGTGGAAGTCGGTATCCCGTGGGAGTGAGAAGTTTTCCCAGTAAAAAGTACCCTATGTGTTATTCTGATGTATAACCTATATTGCTGTAAAGTTTTATCCAAATCCGTCCAGTAGTTTTTTCGTGAAAGAGTAACAAACATCCATACATCCATACTTACAAACTTTCGCCTTTATAATATTAATAGGATGCTTCCAGAGTTCTCAGAAACTTATCGGCAGAAGACATTAAAATAATAAACATAAAGCAAAATCAACCTATATGTAGGCTTAATTTAAAATTTATTATATCTCCAATTGCTATCTAAAAAGTCCTTTATACGCTTTAGTTAATACTAAACACTAGACATTGCAATAATTTTTTATACAATAAATGAGTGATTTTTTGTATGATTTGCATGTACATTGACTTAGAATTTGTAAATCAAGTAAACGAAGAAATATACATTTTTTGATAGCTAAAAGGCTCTACCGGTAGTTTTAAATATTTTTTTGTAAAATATAACTAGCTAAATTGTCTTGACGTGTATCGTTAGAAGTTTTCCTTTAACATGGTATTATTACGAAAAATGCTTTATCATATTAAATATGTAATACCACTCTAAACCCTGCTTGCTACTGTCTCTCGACTGAGCTTTTATAAAGCTTTCATTTATGATATAAAAAGTTTACTATCCCAGCTTCCAAGTTCACCTGATATTTATGTAAGTCCAACTTATGTTACATACTTAAGGAATAAGCCAAGGAACTGTATAAATTTAACTGTAACACTATCGAGGAAATTGAATTCTAACCGCGTACAGTAACGTACGACTCACAGCGGGAGGGATAATTCTACAGTCTAGAATGTTCTTTGGGAATTTGTTTGAAATATGAACTGCTTATTCTTCTTACATATTGCAAAACAAATTTTGTATGTCTGGACGTGATAAATTTAATAAAAAGGAACAAATGGATTTTCGTGTAACTTAGATCAATGGACGAAGTTAGTTATGAAGAAAATTGTTTGTCTGAGATTTAATTAATTGACTGAAGTATGAAGATATTTTAGAGCCCTAAGCGAAGGTTTATACACGTTAAGAGACGAGATGAAGAATATACAATAAATAGACACTGGCAATCTAGATATGTATAGGTTACGGAAGAAAAAGAAAATAACTGAAGTAGTCATACTTCAGTTCAAGAAAAACCTGAAGTAGTCATACTTCAGTTGTTTTTTTAGACGCTCATTATAAAGGGAGTCACCACACAGGTTTTGATTTGCGAATGTCAAAATGGGCGATATATATAACGGTTATATTTTTTGATAGCATTAACTTGTAGTTTTGTGTTTTCTCGACTAATTCAAACCTATGTATTAGATATATCTGAGTATTAGATTTTGATATTTTTAGTTGGAATATGAATTAAAGGATTTTCTCCCTTCTTTAGGTACAAAACTCGGAAAATTAATGGAAATGGATAAAACTTATTTTAAACTTTAACGGCGGAAATATCGGGGAGTCAATAAATATAATGGATATTGTGGCAATACGATAGAAAGCTATTATTCAAATGAACAAAACTGTATTAAACTATTCAGATTATTATATTGTGAATAAAAATAGTTTGTACGACGTTTCAGTCACATATCACTGATATTGTATTTTTATAATCATATGCGCCGCCATCTCTCGTTTGTGATATAAACGGACAGTTGACAGCGTTATATTAAAATAATGGAGTTTGCTACTGTAAAATAAATAAAAAACAATCACGACTGGTGGAAAAAAAGAATGTATATACCTTAACATTTCTATTAATAGATTAGAAGGTAAGTTAAACGTTAATAGTACTTTGGGGGTGGAGTCTTGGGAAACTGTGTGATTCGTTCATGTCACAGAATGTGGTAGTCTCTAGGATGGTGATATTGTTGTACGTGATATTGTCGAAACTTTTTTTATACTGGCTTGGGTTATTATACAGTAAAGTGTTGCTACAAGTTTCATCATAATTGTTTCTAATTTCGAGCAGAGGAAGTGTGATTTTCTCTCGATATTTAATCAAACAATCAACAGTTCAACCTTTCTATTGTAAGTTGTATTTCATACTTGCGATTATCAATCCAATATTTGTTACATTACGATTCGCACCAAAATCTCTTCATATCGATTTGAAAACTAAAATAAGCTACAATGTGTGCTGCACAAAAGTTTTTTTAACTTATCGGTTTGCCATAAATGGGTCAATTTTATTTGTAGAGACAGTTAATAATGTATTATTATTTTTCATCAATTTTGCGTTCACGAGGCTAAACCGGAATGTATTCTTAATGAAAATGCTGAAAATGTCTACCAGGCCCAAATACTCTGAGATGGGATTGTGATAGGTTGTGGGTTCGTGTCCCATCTCAGGGGCTGATGGGTTCTTTAAGCATTTAAATCAAGAATATTTTTAAATTTAGCATTATGAATGCAAAATTGATAAATAAGAACAAATTTAGAACACCTGAGTCGGAAGTTTATGAATATTAAAAAAAATCTTTCGACTTTTTGAGTGGATTGCCTGAACATTGATGAAACTACGCTCTGTAGTAGCGAAAATTGACAAGTGTTCGAAAAATTCGTCAGTCGTGTTAGGTCCTGGGTAGCTCAGTGGTTAGATCATTAGTAGCTTTTATTGGGTTCGTTTCCCATCTCAGAATACCTGGGACTGGTGCATTTTTTATACTTCTTTCATTAAGAAATAATATAATGACCAAGAATGTTAAGTATGAATCGGCTTCCATTATCGTTTTTATTTCTTTCTATTTGCTAATTTACTATGTATATTCCCTGGTATTCTCTGTGGTTATTCGTCAGATTTAAGTTTTATTTCAAAAGCTGTTACTAAAAGTGATATCACCAATAATTTTACTGCGTCCATCCTACGTTGAAACAATAATTCAAAAATTATTCCATGCAGGTAACTTAATTTAAATTAGACATTGCATTAAAACCAGAGCTTTCTATTTAAACCCCCATTAATATGTCGATAAAGGATCCCAAATATATTCAAATAAATTTGTTATATCATCAGACAGTAAAAAACGCGACATCCAAAATCAAACTATTAGATAAAGATTTGGTGCATATTGTGATTTAGCTAAACGAAATTTTCATTGCAGTCAGACCACCATTCTGTGGAAGATTTATAATCAAAGAGGTCCCCATCTGATGTTGGACCTCTTTGATTATCAAATTCTTTGAAGATCAATTTTCAAAATAATAATTTTCAACGGCGTTATATATCCATCAACATAAAACATTTTTTTAAAATATGTGGCTAGTGTTTCTAGTGATACTGTATACTTCCACATTTGTTAAGTCTTTTAAAGGTCATTTAAAAACTCATATATTATATGAACCCTCAACATAATACACTCCTTTTTTAGTGTGTGGTGTGGCCTACCAATTGTTCCGAAAGACCGAAATCTTCGCCTCAACCCGGGCGCCTGAGCTTCGCTTAAGTAGCTCTGAATACATAGCCAAAACCAAGTGCAAACAAATTTCTTAACTACTGAACTAGCTAAATCTTTGGTGGCACGCATAGCTGTTTACTTTGACAAAGTCACAACCGCGTTAAATTTACCCGGGGAGACCGCAGGATGGAACCGTATCGTGGTGCCGCACTGCGCAACAGTCGATCCGTTGCATATTTTACGAGACTCCTGAACTCGGGCTCCGTCTCTGTTGCTTTGTGCCGAGTTAGGGACGCACACTCGATACTTAATTCTGATTTCTGAGATAAATAATTATGTAACACAAAACAATATTTTTAGGAATCTTCTTCCGATTTTAATTTCACTGACAAACTTGATCTAATGATACATAATATGTTTAGAAAACTTTCTAAATCTCCTTATAATATTTAATACATGTTGTACGCATAACATTCTAAGAATTTCTCTACAAGAAACAGAAAAAATAAATAAAAAATTAAGTCTCTCTCTGTCTTTTTCTCTCTCTCACACACTCTTTCTAGCTCCTTCGTCTTTATAATGAAGTTTAAGAGTTGGTATTACAGTCATCCGGTTAGCAAAAAGATATCGATTCAGCTACCTTTTTTACTATAGGGAAACTGTTCTCCTTAGAGATTCTATCCAGTAGTCATGCTCACTCGATGGACCCCCGAAGGTCTACCCATTAAATAACTTTCAGTATATAGAGGGTACTGTAACGTCCGTGTACTATAGGTAGGTTAACTCTTCGGACAATTTATGGTCAATGCTGACCGTTAATATAATATTTTGAATTATTACTCTTTCCGTATTCGAATTCGCGTGTTCGTGTTTTGCTTGTGGATAATCTTTCTTTCTGATCGAGACCGGTCAGTATATTAGAATATTTTTTTCTTGTCATTTTCCACTGCCAACTGTAATCAGTACAAAAACTATAAACAGATTGGTAAAAAAAAAAAATTGGTTTGTAAGGCGGCACTCCCATCGGAGCACACTTCCAAAGATTTGTTAGAGACTAATCTCTCTGTTCCAGATCCTCAATAGCATATCGTTTTAGTCTCTTTACATTATGCGTCGTATCATTCAGTGCAGTTACAAGTGTATTAGAGTGGTGCACCAGTCTATTTCTGTAATGTTATGTAATGTAAAGGTAAAACTATGCTTAAGTTTTATTTCCTCTTTAGCAGTGGGTATTCCCAAGTACTCATGCATTTCTTAGACTTTTATGAACCAAGGAGCATTATCCAAAACACGTTATTCTGAAAGCGCTATAGTACTTCTTGGACTTTTATGAACCAGGGAGCGTTAAGGATCGCATGAAACACGTTATTTTGAAAGGGTTATAATATTTCAAGGTTAGAGTTACCGGCTGTACCCCACAGTTCTACGTAAGTCCAAAGTGGCTTGAGAACACTGTTATAGATCATTACTTTGTTATTAAGCGAGAGCTGAGACTTGAATCGTAAGTATAGTTCATCACGTTTCTTTTTTATATGTTTCTACCATGTCTGCCGTCTGTCCAGATGTATGCCTAAATATCTTACGACATCGTTGTTTGGTAGTAACCGCCGAGTCTTCGGGTAACCCATTCTTCTATTTAGTATCTAACACTTGAGATTATTGAACTTTAAGTGTTTTCTATAACGTAAATATAATGCCAGAAAAATGCCTCAAATTTATTTCTAATTTTGCCGCTTTTATTGACGTAGTCACCCAAAGGACAGACTGCTAAAGTTTAAATCAAATCTGTTCCTATGGTCTTCATTCTGTTATATTTCTCCCTGTTCATAATAATTAGTTTGGAGCTAATAATAACGAAGTTAATCCCGCACAATTGAACTCTCGCACATAAACTAAAGAGCTATTAGTACGAATGGCGAATTTGTGACATCGTAATTTATCTGGCTTAGTTAACTTACCTGTAGTAATGGAATATTAATAAACTTAAGAAACATTATGTTATCTGTTTATGTTACTTAATAATTACATGTTACATATCAACATTATATCTAAAAACTACTTAAAGTTTTAAGAGAGAAATCAGATGAGTTAAAAAAATTAAGTTGGTCCCATCTGATTTTATGAAGAACGGTACAAAACATTCTTTTTGGTCATGATAGGATTTAACCTCGCCCTAAAATCTCTCTGAATTCTCATTTGGTAGATCTATCTATCGAATTCGAATTCAGAATAGAATTAGATTTTTAGTTAATACGTTATTAGATAGACGCTACATATGGTAAATAAATTATTTCTTTTTTGTCCGCCCCAAATGTTGACATACTCAAACAAATATAAATGAACTTGTCGTTTTAACAGCTTCATTCCTAACCTCGGCCCGCTACAAACTCGACGCCATAAATCAATTTCCAATTTATACTGGAGGGCTATTAACAGAAATGGCGAATTTGTGATTAAGTGACGTCATAACTTATCTGCCATACTTCCCTGGAGTAATAAAGTGCCGAGAGTCGGAGCGCACCTTAGTCTATTAGCTCACGGGAAACTGGCCGATGATGTATGGCCTAGTAAGAAAATTTATGCTTATGATAGAAATCAACTTTTTTCAAACATAGTTTTCTTCGTTAGCTCCAACAATAAAATCGATATAAATATTTTAATATTGGTTCTAAATACGCTTCTTAAAATACGTTTTCTATTTCCATTATGCAATGTATTATCTCTAGTCTGGGATCACAAAGATATATGTGATGTTATTTCGTGTTGCATTTGAAAATTCTATCACACTCCAGCAACGCGTTGGGCGCCAATATCAACTTTATGCAAATACCCTCGCGGCGATGGTCCCGCGCGCCGATGTAATTGCATTACACTCTGGTTATGGCGCATGCAAAATATTGAAAATGGACGTTAATGCTTGTTTACATAAAGGGCCATTCGTATTTACTAGCAATCGAATAGGATACAATACATGCATATGGGAGAATTGAAGCTAGAATTTAAGATTAGTATTATTGAACCTACCTCAATTATGTCCGTATTCGTGAAGATGTTTTTCTATTACCATAATGATATTACCGTTTTATATTATGATATTTAGTAAAGAAAGTGTAATAGCTTCGTAATTAGAAACAATAAACTGCTTTAATATTATATTCAGTTATGGGAAGTACGTTATAATAGATATTCTTTGAAAACTAACATATAACATTATTAGCGTCTTAATAAAAATGTATTTTAACGAGCAGTTTATTTTGAATAATATTAAATTCAAACCAATTCAGTATAAGTATAACAATTCAATAGAATCGATACTAGGTTAAGGAATAATGCCAATAATATTGCAGTGTATTTACTCAAGTAACCACTTTCATATTAATATCAAATATCAAAAGGCTTATTTCAATATTCAAAATAAGAAGTTATTTCACCGACGCTAGTTACTTAGTTAGGGCACCGAAAGTTATATCGTTGTTTCATAAACAACAATTTCACAGCATTTCACGAGCCTTAAAGTAATCCACGTGAGAGCGCGAATAAGGCCGCATTATAAATTCTTTCTCGCTCACTAACCCGCCCATTGCTCATAAACTTTACCATCTTAATCCAGCACTTAATCATCTCGCAAATGGCACGTGAACAAACAAGCAGAAAGTGGCATAACTCCGTGGAAACTTGCTGCTTGAGAGTGGCGCAAAGCCCCAGTAAGCCTCTTTGCCCCCTTTTTATTTCTCCGCCACATACTTAACGGCAATTTCAGGGGAGCCATGCCGCTTTCGCTTTATCTCGTGTGTTACCGCAACTTTGAGACTGTGTTTCGCGATGTGCGTCTTTAATTTGTTTGTGTTTTGTATATTGATTGTGTAACGTCATCAGTTAGTGAAGGATCAAACGATATTTTGGGCCGTTTATGATAATGCAGTTAGAGAGAGTAGGTCACGAAAGATATGCGAGTAGGCATTTAACGCGATCATTGTATGGGACTCTCAGCGGGTAACCAGTTGTTGGGAGGCTAAACCTCTAATCCAAGTTACTTAGTAACTTATGGTAGAAGTCGAACATGCTCATCGGGTTATGACCCCAACCCTCGCCCTGTTTCTAAGCTTGAGCTCGGTGTGGGTGGCAAAGACAAACCCTTTCGAAGCGATAATTGTTTAATTAGCTAAAATATTTGTTATGCATTAGAAATTTATATTGTTAGGTTAACAACTCTTAACATAACACAGGGGTACACATTTATATATATCCAGTATAATATTAATTTTATACTATAATTCATATCTCTAGACATTTAATCTTCAGTAATAAATAGTTACCCAGAAGCTATTAGTACAAGAAGAAATTATTATTAGTGCACAAATTATCCTATGTAAAATATATTTGTGAAAAAATGAGCCATTTAAATTGATAGTTATTTTTTATTTATTTTAATGTTTATTTTAAATAATGTAGTGTACAAATTGTAGGTATATTGCTAAAAAGCGGTCATTGACCTCCATGAACAATACGCATACGTTAAGTAGCAACGTGTATCTATCATGTTTGAGGCATCTTTTTATTTCCGATGGTAGAAGGCTATGAATGAACTTATATTTTTCTAAACGTGAGTATGATTCACCACAGGGAAAACAATATTCAATTTATTGCGCTGACTACTAATTTTTCCTGTGTATTAATTTTTTTCTCTATCACCATTAGTTACCTGGAAGAGATTGTTGCATAACAATAAAGCGAAAATTTGTACTGCCCTTAAAATTGTTTTTCTCCTAATGTATCCAGATTTTGTGCAATAAAGAATATTATTACGATTAAGGATTAAGGTCTGCTTTATGACTTGCATTATTATTGTGCCCGACAGGGTCCTTAATGACACTAACTAATCTATGTAACATATTATACATTATCTATGGATACAATAAGCAATTGGGTATTAAGTAGAATAGAAACAATATAATAGTTTTAAACTAGGAAAGAGATATTTTTCCTGGGAGCATTGACATTTGAGCACCTTTAGACAAACAAGGAAACGTTTAATTAGTCAAAATAGAACCAGTATTTATATTCTACTAAAAAAAAAATATAACACCAATCAACATCGTTTAATTAAAAAAAAACGGTCACGCAAAATCGTAGACGATAAAAATAATTCATAATTTCCTAAAATAACTAATAACGTATTTTTAAAATACAAGGCATTAGTATTGAGATGACTATTAGTATTATTTTTGTATATTTTACGATTTTAACTTATGAAATTGTAATTAAAAATCCAATATCAAATATTTAGTTGCTATTTTAATGATTTTGATGTCGTATTTTTGTTGGATATCACCATAAAGTTACTTTAACCGTAAATAAAGAAAAATAAATATCATTATGTTGTTCAATATTAAATCATGTAAATAAAAGTCACATGAAATTTAAAACACAAAATCTTTACAAAATAAAGTACACAAAATCACTAAAAGAGGAGAAATATAATCTGTGCAAGGGCACCGATTGGAGCCGGGTAAGTTAAGGTGTATTTGATTAGGGTCCCAGGGGTGAACCCTGGGGCATCCCCGACGGGTGCCCATACAGGCCGTTTTATTTGGCTCTCTACATTAAATCGATTTTCAATGATGCCCTTTCAGTAAACAGATTTCGTGTCATTTATCTTTTCGAGTCTGAAAAAGCTCAGTTGGATGATCGTCGCAGTAGATTCGTTTCTATTTACGCATTACTTTGTTTATGCCTTTTTTAAAGATATGCTTTGGTGCGCAATTATTTTTTCTATTACATCCCTACGGATATAATAAAAACATTAAAAGCAGCTCATGCTGTTTGAATGTTATTTCCAGTATAAAATCGCTTGCCGCAGGTTTTAAAAAAAGAAATATAGATTTTTGGTTTTTGCACATTCATGTTTCCAAGCCTATTGAATCATTTATTTGAAAAACGTTAACCTTTTCATTATATTATTAACTAGTAAATATTTATATATACAGTAATATATCAAATTCGATTCTGAAAGAATTTATTCCGAAACATATTTTTTATTTTATCTTTATTAAAAGAATATTAAATGTTCACCAGCCAGGCACTCCGAAATGGGCCTCGACCCACAACTTTTCACAATCCGGGTAACTGCTCTAATCACTGAGCTACCCTAAACTTAACAAGTCTGACGAATTTCTCAAGCAGTTTATTATCATACTAGCTATACTCTTCGAAACGCAAAACTAAAAAAGCCAATTATGGCTTTATAATAAAAATTTGAGTCATTCATTTAGTATTCCTTTGACTGCTGTTCAAGTTGTGCGAATGGAATTATTAAAAGTGAAATTGTTTTAATAAAAGTTGTTTTTGGTTGACACTGTAAAGTCTAACAACTCCTAATGATGCTCCGTAGAAGGGCGAAACATGATATTTCTTGCCTTTGAATTTGTTTAAGTGTGCGCAGAAGGTGCATATTAGGAGCGTGTGGAAGTTGCTAGATATCTTTGTGTCACAGTTATATCAATGTACCTACTTCGTACTATTCTGTTAACAAGTTCAATTAATTAAAACCTAGTTGGAAAGGTTATAAAGGTTTTATTTGAATGAACTTCTAATTCTGTGACAACGCTGTGTTTGTCGCTGTATTATTACAGAGTAAAAACCCATAAATACACATTTACTAGAGCAGATTAAACTCTATCCACATCAACTCAAGTTCATTCATATAAAATTAAATAATTATTATATCTAGATTATTGTGTGATAGCTATGTTATCACCGTTTGTTTTCCGAACAAAAAAAAAATTAAATATTGTGCACCTCTAGAGGATATGAACGTGCACACATAATATATGGAGTTCTATAGAATCCTGATCGATGGAAGAGTTCCTATGGTATATTATGAGTATTTTCATATAAAAATTATTAATGCAGTGTTTTGTATAGAATATTTACTGGTATTTTTTTTTGAAACCAATCAAAATTTTATTAGATACAAGTGAACTTGTGGATTACT